TAAAACCTATACATACTTAAGGTACTATACAAGAAGATATGTCAAAGAAATAATCAATCCTCCCAAGTTTCCTTCATATGCTACATCTATAGCTTTTCTTCTTCCTTCCTAATTACAACCCTTAAATAGAATTCGTGCCTCATATCGAATTTACCGAGTATCATAATTCCTCCAGGTGGTAAAGATACCTCGAGACAAGTGCTGGGCATAGAAGCCACAGGGCATAAATCTGCAAAGAAGTAAAAAGCTAACCTTTGCAAACAATATGGCTTCTCTCTCACTTACCAACTTTACATTTCCCTGTATGGCCCCGGAAGATGACTGGTTAGCCAGAGACGGGTAAGATTCCTCAAGGGAGGAACAACCTAAGACAGGCACAGTCGCAGGGGGGCCATCAGGTGAGAATTTGGGGATCAACAGAGGTGAGGCTCAGAACCTCACCCCCCCTGCTTTGAGAGAAATCTTCTGCATCCGTGGATGTCTTGCTGCCCTTGTCTAGCCTGGATTAATACTTAGTCCATAGGCACACACCTGATCATCTGATCATCTACATTTGCCCTCTTACAGCACTAAACTATGTTTTCTACCTTTATCTTGCATCTACCTACCACTTCAGCATTTTATTAAAAATAAAAATAATAATAATAATAAAGGGAGAAATGTGGGATCCACATATAAATCAAGTATAAAAATCAAATGAATATTCATATTTGACCTGATTGTTTATAGTTCATAATGCGTGATCAAAACCGAAAGTTTCTGTGATGACTGCCCTTGTACTGTTCACCATGTAAGAACTTATTCACTATGTAAGAATTCGTTCACCATGTAAGAACTTGTTCGTTATGCTTCAGAAGATTGGAGACTGATGAGAATTAGGCTTGGGGTAGATTAATGATTGTGCATTGAGCATTGACCCCCTATACAGAATTTTATTGTTGTTAACAACCATTTGATCAATAAATATGAGAGATGCCCTCTCAAAAAAAAAAAAAAAGATACTGCTCATTTTATTGAGGATCACTTGCCCATGATGAGTTGCTTTCCTCTTTCTACTTTTAGGATTTTCTGTTTTGTTCTTTGGTTTTTAATAATTTCATTATAATGATGTAGACTTCTTTGAATTATCTTCTTGGGGCTGGTAAGCTTCTTGAATCTGTAGATTCCTATTTTTTATCAAATTTGGCTATTATTTCTTCAAATATTCTCTTGGACCCATTCTCTCTTTTAATCCTGAGAGTCCCCTTGTGTATGTATTGCTATATTTGATGGTATCCCACAGATTTCTTAGGCCCTGTTAATTTTCCTTCATTCTTTTTCCTTTCCTTTCCTCGGAATGGATAATTTAACTGGCTGATCTTCACGTTCACTTACTCTTCTACTTGCTAGAATCTGCTATGAAAATGCTCTAGTGAGCTTTTCAATTCTATTATTTTTCAGCTCCAGAATTTCTGATTCCATTTTAGAATTTCTCTCTCTACTGATGCTATCTATTTGTTCATACATCATCCTCCTGTTTTCCTTCAGCTCTTTGAATGCATTTAAGATGGCCGATTTAAAGTCTTTGTCTAGTAAGCCTAGGTAGGGTCTGTTTTTCCTTAGAAACTATCTCTGTTAATTTGTCCTGTGAATAGACTGTATTTTCTTGTTTCATTGAATGCTTTATACTTTTTTGTGGACTGATAATTTTGAATATTTGAATGTAGTAACTCTTGAAGTCAATCTTTCTTCTCTTCAGCTTTTTCTTACCTGCGGTAGACTGTAACTTTGTTTAGTGACTTTCCTGAACTGTTTCTGTCAAGTTTGTCTTTTGTCATGTGTGGTCTCTGAAGCCCCTGTGCCTTTACTATTCAACTAGTGTTTAGACGAAGATTTCTTTGAACACAAGCCAGAGAGAATCAGAAAGGGAAGGGGAGAGAGAGGAGAAAAAAAGAGAAAGAAGAGAATAAGAAAAGAAACCCTTCAAATCAACAACAAAAACTGCATCCAGACCTTCCAGGTTAGCTCTGTGTGTTGGGACATTCCAACATTCAGCCGGGCCATTTACAAATCTGTCTTAGCCCTAATTTCATGCTTGCACTTAGCCTGAGTATACACGGGGGCTTTATATGCCCTAATTTCCCGTGGAAACTCTCCCCTAACTTTTCTCCTAGGCTTTGGCACTGTAATATTTGTCTCAACCGTAATTTTTTGCTCCACATGACTTCAGGTTGTTTGCCTTGTCATGCTTTTGAGGAAGGCCTGTTGCCATTCCCTCTGCGTTCTCAGATGAAGCAGAGACAAGAACATTGGATTAGTATCTCAAGTAGCCCCCAGGCACGTTAGAACAAACACAGTTTTAAAAAAATAGTCTGCTCTGCTTCTAGAGCACAGACTAGAGTTTCACACTGGGAATGTGGACTGCCATCCTCGAGCTTACCACTGAGCTAGGGGCAGGGTAGGGCAAGGGCAAGTGGAAATGCTACATTTCCCTACCATTTTTAAGTTGCCTTTACCTTTGCATGGATGCATGCTGTAGGCCTTTGGCGGATAACTGGAGTTCTCACAAAGTTGGTTCAGTCTGCTTGGTGTTTCTGTTGGGGTGTGTGTGTGTGTGTGTCTGTGTGTAGGGACAAATGTTTGGATTTGCCCATGCTGCCCTTTTTGGTGAGACCTCACTTCCTGCATTGTATTTGGCCTCTTGTACGTAATCTCTTTCCAGTCTCTTGTCATTCTGCTGAACATCACCCTACTTCTTTCTCTCCAAAGTACCATCTGTGTAAACCAAGGTTTGTAGTAAACTTTTTGGGTAAAATAAAAATGTAAGGTTTCCCCACTGTGTTGTTTACATGAAACCATCATAAGATTGTGTTTATCAATGATACTTTAACAAAAACAAAACAAAACAAATCTCTAAATAAGGAAAAAAAATGTAAGGTTTCCATCAGGAATTAAGTCATAAGGCAGTACTGCCAGAGTATATGACTCTATTGACTGAAACACTTGGCTTCCCTCCTAGCATCCCTTGCTCATTAATATAGCAGACACTCCCCTCTGTGTTCGGGCCTTCCCATTCTTTCTCAAGTCCCCTTACCTCTTTGTCTGAGAAGTTCAATAAAACCAGAATTCTCATTTCATTATTCAAAACAACTTAAGTCTATCCCACTGCCACACTGTTGCTGACATAATCCACCTTCAAATCAGTCCATCAAAATGTTTTGATATAAAAAGGGGGTGAGACTCTTCACTCTCTAGAATGAAATCTGCTCCATGCTTTCAAAATGACAATATCTCTTCTAGCTCTACATACTTTATTTCACTTTGAAAATGTGGATACATTTTAAAACTTCTTTGAACACATTTATGTTGTCTCTATAGCAACTTCCATTTAAAAATGGTTATTTCCTAGTATTCTTTTATAAACGAATATTTTAGGAAGTTCTGAAATTTTCACAAATATGGTAACTTCTCTCAAAATATTTCTTAAGTATATGAAGACAACTTTAATGTTGGATGATTGGTCAGGAAAAGAAAGAGGCTCTTCATTTCTGTAAGTGAAATACTATTTTTAGTTTTGTTTTTTATTCTGTTTCTGTTCCAGGAATCAAAAACATGGCTGAAATGTCTCTTCTTTCCAAAACCAATTTTTTCTTATTTTAAAGTAACACCCACTTATTTTGATTTAAAAAATAAAAATGAAGAATGAACAAAACAGAGAATTTCTGAATTCTGAAGATTAATAAATGTATGAAAGAGAAAATAAAGATCACCAGTAATCCCACTACACAGAGATACCAACTACTATCTATTTGATACATACCTTCTAGGAACTTTTAAATTGCCATTTATATAAGCAGTTGTATGTGTGTAAATTTTTTTTAACAAAAATAAGATTTTAGTAAGGCTATTTTTTAAAAATAAATATAGAATGCCTCACTTTAATGGCTACATGATAGTTCATTTATGGGGCTAAGATAATCAGTTTCTTATCAATGAACGATTAGTTTATTTCTATTTGTTCTCTGTTACAAACACTGCATATTTATTTTAGAAGTTACAAGAAACTTCAAGCATGTAATTGTGGTTACTTAGGTAGTTTTAAAAAATATTTACTTCTATAAAGTGGCAGTAAGACAAAACAGTTTTTGGAATACTGTTTCAAAATGCTTTGATCACAAAAGTAGGCAATGATCAGTTAAGCATCTAAATGTCTTAAACATTTCTAACCTCAAAAGATGAACTTCTAACCTGGCTATACAATCTGTAATTTCAATTTTAACTCTCTGAGTTGCCCACAAATTCTCCACTTTGATCAAATGGATTTATTCTTCTATAGGAGCCCAGTGACTTGCCATCTTTCTGCCATAGCATTTGCTGCTTTTCCAAACTGGAAAGGCTAGAAATCACTTCCTCTTTCTCTCCACTGATCAAATCTAATCCAGAATTGTAGGTCTAGCTCAAATCCCTCCTGGTCTATAAATGCTTCCTGACCTTCTAGTAGGAAGGGATTTTTCCTCTATTAAAATCCTTTGACACATAATACTTGTTCCATTTCGAGCAATTAAATGATAGTAACTTCTAACAGTTCCTACTCTTGTATCTTCAAATGTGATTTAAATCTTATTTCCTCATTGGCACATTCACATCATCTTTCCAAACTGTTACTAAAGGCTCCTGAAGGAGGAGCACCATCTTGCCATTTGCCGGGCACTCTACCTCGCACATGGAAGGACCTTGGTAAATGCTTATAGGTTTAACATGAGTACTGTGTCCACTACAGATCTATATCAGTAAAATTCGTGTTCTTTCCATTTCTATGCACAGATAAGAGCATATGAAAAAAGGCAATTTCTTAAAGCTCTTTCAGGACATTAAAATTCTCTTTTATTGACTGTATACTGCCACTGTGTAACTGAACTATGTAATCTCTAAGATAGAATAATATCTTTATGATTTTTCTGTATTTTTATAATATTAAAGTATTTACTTAAAATAGTTTGCACAAATATTGAATTACTTACCTTGCAAAGACTTAAGTAGAAGCATAAAAGTAACAGAATAACACGGGCAAGCTTCATGTTGTAGACATTCAGGGTTTGTGTCTCTACTGTGGACTCTTCTCCGCCCCCAGATATTCTTTTGAAATTTAATTTTTAACCTCTGAAAAAATATTTAAAAAGAGAAAGTCTCCTAAAGAGCTTTGTACTTTTGAACTTGAAGAGAATTCTGGCAAAAATCCAGAGTTTTACCGTAACTGAAACCAAAAAAGACCTCCCCAGTAAATAGCTGAGGGAGGTGACCAATAGGGACTGTGTTTCCTCCAAATGAAACTGATTTCCCCACCTTGTTACTGCACAATGACTCAATTCAGTTTCCTAGGGAAGAAAGAAACTACACTGGGAAAACATCTTCTTTGTTAAATAAAATTATAGTACTCTTCCTTAATGTTGAAGACTTGGAGATGGTAGGAAGTAGATGTACATTATAGTGAAGGCTCTTTTGAGTACATTAAAAAATCCTAAACAAAACAGTTCCTTAACCATGCATAGGCTGTGCTGTGACCAAACTGTTTTCCCTGAGCACAGAGAACTTTGATAAACAAGTATTCTTACCACAGTATCAACTATACTGCGGGACTCATTTGTATTTGTGAAATGCATTGTGATGGCAGGAATGCTCTCTTTACTTCATGGGAGTTGATTCCTGAAAGTACCTCATCCTCCAAACTCTGTTTTGTGTCTGCTTCAGGAGAACCCAAACTGTGAGGAAGAGCAGGATTGAGCAGAGAGAAAAACAGCCTGAGCCAGCTCACGAGGAGCTCTGGGGTGAGTGTGGCCTGTCAGTGTCCCTGTGTCAGGCAGAAATGGCTGGACCATGACACTCTGCCTTGCCTAGTCACCTGGTGTAGGGTGCTGAAGAAAGGCATGGCTTTAGGTGAAGCCGCTCTCTGTAGCTGAAGGTCTGACAAACAGTTTCTGTCAGAAGTGTCTGCTGACCACTCTTTACAGGTAGGCAGCAAAACCTTCCTTGAAGGAGGAGTTCCACTGCAATTTTGAAAGAGCCTCTCCTGGACCATGTTTGGAAAGGTGCCAATGGTGGACTCTGAAAGATAAGGAGGGGAGTTTCCTGATTCCCCTCTCAAGGAAGGTTTATCTGCTCTAGGTCAAGGTAATGCCATAAATGTAATGGAACAATGTAATATTTTACAGGAAGTCCAGGTAATCAAGGTCTCTTCAGACTTTACTAGGACAGAAGATAGAGGAGATAAGACCTCCAGAAAAACTGTGAATGCATTGCTGCTCATCCCATGTAAATGTAAACTATTTCTGATCCTCTTTTCTGCTTTAAATATTTAGAATAGTTTCAGTTGTCCTGGCCAAATTCTTATTCATATACTTCATAATATTGTTAAAACTAGAATCAAGGTTCATATCTCTAAAAGAAATTTGATTGGAACAAATATTAAACTTCAGGTAAGGGGTGGAATTTTTAAGTTTAGAAAGCAGACAACACAAAAGACAAGACATTAATATATTCAAATTATATTTTAAAATTTCATGACAAAAACACTGAAAAGAATGCATTAAGCATACAACTCAGGATACTATTACAAAACAATAAAAGGAATCAGAAGTGATAGAAAGGAAAGCAATTGTAAATAAACTAGAAAATAACAGTATTAGAGCTTGATAAATAGAGTCATTTTGAGAAATAAAAAAGAGAGTAAAGCAATTTTACAGGAAATCTATTGAAGTGGACATTTTTAGGGAGCTGCCAACATTCATTTTTCTTCATAATAGGTTCCCAGTTTTCTTTGTGGAATTATTTTTTTTCTATTATGGGTTGTTTTGATGGGAGAGTTAATTCCAGTCACCTACCTTCCAAAATAGAAATTGAGAAATCCATATCCAGCATCTTTCCATTCCCTTGAGGGCCCTGGGACTAATCGCAGAGTCTCTCTCTCTCTCTCTGGTTTGGGTCCTGAGTTAAGTGAGAAGATGGCAGGAGGAACAGTTGGGAATCATTTCCTGCAGCAGAGTAGCAGCAGCCTACGTGTCACACTGCTCCAGCCAGAAGATAAACTTCCCTGTAATTTCTTCTTGAGTGTCCTTAGCTCTTTGGTCTAGTGCCTTCCTTCTCTCAATACTGTGAATATCCCATTACCTTCCAGATGAATTTTCTTTTACTAAAGTTAGCCACAGTTGGTTTCGTGGCTTGTCACTTAGAACCTTAAGGGATAAAAGCACGTGTAACTTATCAATAGTTTGAAGAACTGGATTTTCAAAGAAAATAGAATTATCAGAATTGACTCAAGAGTGACAGAAAATTCAAATAATAGCTAAGAAGAAATAGAAAAGTTAAACATTTCAATCCCTCTCCCAACAGTTTTACCAGCTCTTTTTAAAAAGATCATTTTTCTCTTATTTAAACTTTTCCAGAACACAGAAAAAGACGGAAAGCTCTCCAGCTTATTGGCAATACTCTAACACTTTTATCCAAAACTTGGCTAGATGATGAACCTGAGAAAGTGGCAGAGTCGGAGGACACTGAGCTCCCTTGCTCCCACAGATACAGGAAGGCAGCGATTACACATAGTGCAGCTCACTCTGAAGGCCAGCAGAAAGGCTCTGCTACAACTGAAGATTTAAAGAGTCAGCCACATCAAGAAGGGTAGGGGGGGCAGAGATGTGGTTGAGGACCAAACCCACGGGCTTAAGTGACCCACAAGCAGGAGGAAGCAGAGACCCTCTGAGTAGTGAGGGGATCCAGCTCCACACTGAGTACACCATGCAGGAGGATCTGCAGTGGAACACAAACACCCCTATTGTCTGTCTTTGAGAAGCAGTCAGGCTTAACTCTGGGAGCTTTGAAGATCATTCGGGCTTAATTCCAAGAGAGCTGGAGGCTATAGGAAACTGAGACTACGAGATCTAATAAGTGAATTCAGCAAAGTTGCAGGATACAAAATTAATATGCAGAAATCTGTTAATTTCTATATACAAATAGTCAATTAACAGAAACAAAAACGAATAAAACAGTGTCTTCAATAAATGGTGTTGGGAAAACTGGACAGCTACATGCAAAGAAATGAAACTGGACCATTTCTTTACACCATATACAAAAATAAACTCAAAATGGACTAAAGACAGAAATCCAAGTCTTGAAGTCATAAAACTCCTATACAAAAACATAGGCAGTAAACTTTGGACATCAGCATAAGCAATTTTTTTTTAAAACTGTTTTCTCAGGGAAGGAAACCAAAGCAAAAACAAATAACTGGGACTATATCACATTAAAACCTTTATTCAGCAAAGGAAACCATGAAACAAAAGGAAAAGGTAACCTACGGAATGGGAGGAGATATTTGCAAATGATATATCCAATATGGAGTTAATATTCAAAATATATAAAGAACTTATACAATTCAACACTAAAAAAAACACAAAAATGCAAATAAGCTGATTAAAAAATGGGCAGAGGAACTAAACAGACGTTTTTCCAAAAAAGACATACAGAGGGCCAACAGACACATGAAAAGATGCTCCACATCATTAATCATCAGGGAGATGCAAATCAAAGCTGCAATGAGAGAGCAACTCACACCAGTCAGAATGACTATTATCAAAAAGACGAAAAGTAACAAGCATTGCCAAGGATGTGGAGAAAAGGGAATCCTTGTGCACTATTGGTGGGGATGTAAATTGGTGAGACCACTATGGAAAAGTAGTATGGAGTTTCCTCAAAAAATTAAAAGTGGAAATACCATATGATCCAGTACTTACTTGAAGAAAACAAAAACACTAATTTGAAAGGATATATGCACCCCTGTTTACAGCAGCATTATTTACAATAGCCAAATATGCAAGTAACCTAAGTGTCTACAGATGAGTGAAGTGTCCTTAGAAGAATGGATAAAGATGTGGTGTGTACATATACACATGCATGTTCGCACACATACACCCAGAATATTACTCAGTCATAAAAAAATGTAATCTTGCCATGTGTAACAACATGGACGGACCTAGAGAGTATATGGTGCTAAGTGAAATAAAAATCAGAAAGAGAAAGACTATACAATTTCAGTTTCATGTGGAAACTAAAAAACAAATCAAATGAACAAAAAAAATCCAGAAATAGACTTACTAATACTGATAATAAACTGGCGGTTGCCAGGTTCGGGGAGAGGAGAAGAAGAAAGGGGCCAAATGGATGAAGGAATTTAAGAGGTATAAGCTTCCAGTTAAAATATAAATAAGTCATGGAGATAAAAAGTGGGCATAGGGAATATAGTCAACAATAATATTGCAATAACTATGTATGATGACAGATGGTAAGTACACTTACCATGGTGAGCATTTTGTAATGTATATAATTGTTGAATCACTATGTTTTATAACCCAAACCAGTATAATATTGCGTATCAACTGTACTTCAATAAATTGTGCAGAAAAATGGAAACAGTAAATTTTATTTTATTGAAATTCATATATATATATAAAATCATGCTTATAAAAAATATAAAAGTAAAAAGTAAAACACATAGTACAGTATAAGAAAAAATAAATATTTTTACTTACATTAATATATTCAATGAAAACGGAATAACTTGTATGGTGACACATGGTAACTACATTTACTGTGGTGAGCTTTTTGTAATGTGTATAATTGTCAAATCACTATGTTGTACACCTGACACTCAAATAAAATATTGTATGTCCACTTCAACAAAAAACTAGGTAAGATGAGCCTCAGAAAGAAATCCATAAGCTATCTTACTTTTTTACATATCCTAATGATACCAAATAAAATATTAGGAAACCACATACCATAAACCACAGTATATTAAAAAATAACATATATGACCTAGTGAGTATCATTCCAGAAATATACAGGTGTTCAACATTAATATACCAATGTAATTTAGGACACTAAAATCTTTAATTAAAGTAATAGGTCAAAAGAACATAAGATAAGAAATGGAAAAGGTGTTTAGTGAGTTTAACACCAATTCTTAATTTTTAAAAATGAACAAGCGAGGAAAAGAATAAATATCATTAACTTGATAAAGGGTAGAAACTAACAGTAAATACCTTATGCAATGGTGAAACACTACAGGCAAACCCATTAGGGTCTGCAATAAAATTAAGGATTCTATATTCCAATGATGTTGTTATTACTGGAGGCAATAAAGATTAAGAAATTAT